TTCAGTATCTTATCCCTTCTCTTATCTAACCCTTCAAGGGTCTACTTTTATGCGTGGATTTTGCTTCAAAATCAGCAAGCTGAAATTTAAATGCCTTGATTACTAAAACTACCAGTTTCTTTCTGCCACAGGTTAGCTTACATTAGCTGAAGTGCTCTTCGTTTCCAGCTCCCAGAAAATTCCTTTAGTTTGTACATTCATCTATGCATTTAAAAATGTATGAATTATGTATATATATATTTTTTCCCACCTCACCTCCCCCTTTTTTTTTTTAATGAATTATATTTTATTTAACATCTGGTGTTTTCAGCATCATTTAATTAGAATTAAAGATGTTTGGGCCAGGCCTGGTGACTCACGCCTGTAACCCCAGCACTTTGGGAGGCTAAGGCAGGTGGATTACCTGAGGTCAGCTGACTAACATGGTGATAACCCGTCTCTACTAAAAAGAACAAAAAAATTAGTCAGATGTGGTAGGCACCTGTAATCCCAGCTACTTTGGAGGCTGAGGCAGGAGAATTGCTTGAACCTGGAAGGCGGAAGTTTCAGCGAGCAGAGATTGTACCACTGCACTCCGGCCTGGGCAACAAAAGCAAAACTCTGCCTCAAAAATAAAAAAAAGATGTTTGAAGCACAGAGTTGTCTCGAAGTAAACATACTAAAATGAGCATCTGTTATCTCATCATATGAGCTGAGCATTATTTAAGTTTTGACATACTTCTTTAGAATTGACTCATTTTATCTGTTAATTCTTGCGCCAAAGGGCTTAAACCTTTGTATTCTTACTTTAGAAAGGTGAATGTGGTGACAACGGAATATTTAAAATGCTAGTTGTCCATGGAGTGTCTCTGATTTTTTTTCAGCCAGCAAATACTGCAAAATGTTAGTTGAAGAAGAAGGATTGCAGCTTTTGTGTGATATCCAGGAGCACAGTGAGGCAACCTCCCAAGCACAGCAGATTGCAGCCTCCATTCTGGATGACTTCAGAATGCATTTCATGAATTACCAGCGGCCCTCACTGTGTTGAATGCCCTTCTGTACCTCAGGGACTTCAGAGATGTGCTCTTTCTCCCTGTCAGGTGTTCTGCCCTGGCAGTAGTTAAATATTGAAACCAGTTATTGTTGGAGTTTGTGAGTTGGCTGTCTTATTGGTCTTTCATTGTTGATTTTATTTTATATACATTACAAAAGGTTGGATTTGTATAATAGCTGTAATCCCAAGTCAAGTTGGACTCATTCTGAGGGCGCCTTTTCAGCGGCAATTTTGAAGACTCAAACTGTGGACTCTGGGAAGGCCTGGGAGCTTGTGTTGGAACAGCTATGCCAGTTACTTTTCCCTAGTAAAAGTAACCGGGCATGGTGGCATGTGCCTGTACCAGCTACTCCAGAGGCTGAGGTGGGAGGATTGCTTGAACCTGAGAAGTGGAAGCTGCAGTGAGCTGAGATTGTACCACTGCACTCAGCCTGGAGCCTGGGTGACAGAGCAAGACTCTGTCTCAAAAAAAAAAAGATTTTTCTGCCACCCTATAGTTTATAAAAGGGTTTCACAGTGATGATTTCATTTGGTCCTCACGAAAACATTGTATGTTAACAATTACAACATACTTATTGAATATGAGATGTTTTTATTATGCTGAATCTTCACAAGTTTCATTTTGTAGGCGAGGAAGCTGAGGCCCAGAGTGTTGAAACAATTTGTCCAAGGTTATACAGTGAGTAACTAGCAGAGACTGGGATCTGCAGTCTGACTCCTGACACATGTTCAACCAGTATCAGAGTTTATTACCTCTATGGTCCAAGGGAAGAAACTAGGAGTATCTTAAAATCTCTTGACATCTCTGGTGAGTGCCTGATAACTGAGAGAAGAGAGGTCAGAGGCTGAGAGCCAATGATACCAAGACCAAGAGGGATCTATTTTAATTCGTTATCATTCAAGTAGAAAAAGGCCTGGCAGTAGTTAAATATTCCAAAGCAAATCCAACTCTATTGATTATGTCTAATCAAGCTAAGGAGGGTAGCAGTAGGTGGTAGGGTCAGCACCTTGGTTCCAGGCATCACGCCAGCCATTTTATCTCCATCATCATCCTTGTGAAGAAATAGAAGCCTGGAGAGGCGAAATGATGAGGGCAGTCCCACTGCAAAACTTCCTTCTGGATCCTGCTCTTCAGGACATGCATCTCCCGTGCTGAAGGTTAAATGGGGGTCATTCGCCAACAAATTTGGGGGGCCGCTTCTCCCTGAAGGCTGCCATGCCCTCCAGCCGGTCCCGGGTTGGAATGTTCTGCAACAAGGTACAGAATACTAGTATTGGGGGAGCAGGGTCAGAGGCCCAAAAAGAGTTGCTTAAGCTTGTCCAACCCATGACAAAGCCGGGGTCCAGGTGTTTCCATTGTCTCTGGACTCTGGTCTTGAGCCATGTAAAGATATAAGCTAGGCCGGGCACGGTGGCTCACGCCTATAATCCCAGCACTTTGGGAGGCCGAGGCGGGTGGATCACAAGGTCAAGAGATTGAGACTATCCTGGTCAACAAGGTGAAACCCCGTCTCTACTAAAAATATAAAAATTAGCTGGGCATGGTGGTGCGTTCCTGTAGTCCCAGATACTCGGGAGGCTGAGGCAGGAGAATTGCTTGAACCCAGAAGGTGGACGTTGCAGTGAGCTGAGATCGTGCCATTGCACTCCAATCCGGGTAACAACAGTGAAACTCCGTCTCAAAAAAACAAAACAAAAGATATAAGCCTCCGTTGTTGCTTTGTCTCCTGGGGAAGACAGGCCAGCTTTTGTATTCTCTGTACCCCATCAGCATTAGCCTCCACTTGCACACTGCTCTCATGCCTCCAGAGAACTCAATGCCTTCTGCAGTGGTCTGACATGAGGCTGTGCAGTAGAGAAGATAAATTCTTTGCAGCAGGAAATACGGCTTTGAATCCAGGTTCACAGTAGGTTCTCCAAGTTGCAGTATTTTGGATATCTGTTAACCTGGAGATTAGCATTTTTTACTTACCTGTGAGTAAGAGATTCAATAGGTCAGTCCCAAATTTACACCCCCCTACATTGAACGCAGCCTGTGGGCTACAATCAAGCCCTTGACCTCCCAACTCCAGCCTGGCCTTTACACTGGAAGCTGGTACAGAGGCAAAAGAAGCGGTTCTTTCAAGTCTGTGTTGTGTGATTCTCAGCATTAAGTGGGTAGGATGTACCTCAGTATATTAGATGGCTGAGGGAAAAATCCCAGAGAAGCACTGTGGCTCTCCTGAAGCCACTCCAGGTGACTTACGAGGGAGGGTGGATGCAGTCAGACTGTTTGGGTTGAGAGGAACCTGCTAAATCAGTCATGTACTCCACAAAAGTCCCTCTAGGTTGGCCCAGCCTGTTAACAAGCAGGCATGGGCTGGTAGCTACATACCTGGGCATAGCATATCCCTTCAATGACCATCCCTGAGGCGATGTCCACCTGCAAGAAAGAAGTGCTCCCTAGATGAGTCTGACCTTGTCCATCTTCACCCACACTGGAAGCCAGCCCACCCTACTGCCTGCAGACTTCTATATGAGCAGATAGCTAGGAGAAGGAATTCCCTTTCTGGAGAAGAAACACCATTCACAACTGTGATGAAACAGTGCTGGGATAAACAGGAGACAGATGTTTCGCCAGAGGAGAGTTCAGTGTTCCTCTCCATCTGGCTGCCTCACCATACCTCCCTTCACTCATGTTAATTCCCAAGCCTTTATGACCTGGCCCCTGACAATTGCTCCAGCCTCTAGGGCCCCAGTGACTGGCACTTAAAAGCCTCCTTCTAATGTGTGTAAACTTAATTTTCACAGAAAGGGTTATTATTCCTGTTCTACAGCTGAGAAACCTGAGGCATAGAAAGGTGAAGTAATTTTCAAAGTTCACAACAGTACGTGGAAGAGCAGTTCTTTAAACCCAGACAGCCCAGCACCAGTGCCTCTAACTTAGTCTTCCTCCGTCACTCTCATCCGGACTAGCTGCTTGCTTATCCTCCTCTGCTTTTGCTCATAATTTTCCTCTGGAATTATTATCCTTCCCACAGTCCAACTGTAGAAAACATTCTTTAACCCAGCACTACCCAGTATGGTAGCCACTAGCCACATGTGACTGTCAAGCACTTGAAGTGTGATTAGTGTGAAGGAGAAACTAAACATTTTTTTTTAATTTAAAAGCCACACATGGCCATCATAATGGACCACACAGCTCTAATGTCTCTGGGGTGTCAGCGTGGTACCATTAACCTTGATTTGTGTCTGTATCTTCCCCCTCCCATCTTAGGGACAGTGACCATGTTGAACTCCTCTCTATTCCAGTTCCCAGCTTCGGTCTAGATTCAGTGTGTGATAAGTGAATGGATGGGTGAGTTGAGGTGTACAGATGGATTAGCCACACCCAAGGCATCACCCCAAGTCCTGCCCTGAGGCTACATTACTGACTGCCAGCACAAACCACAGCATGGACTGGGAGCCACAGTCCTGGGTTCTTTCTACTCACTTCCTTTGAGACCTTTGGCAAATCATTTACCCCTTCTGAATCTCAATCTCCTCTCTCCAGGGGAGAAAGATGAGGATACAACATAAACGATAATATCTGACCAAACTTCCATCTACCCAATTTGCAGATGGGTAAACTGAGGTAGAGAGCGAGGTCAATGTCTGTTAGAAGAGTCCCCTTCCTGAGTTCTTTCCAGCTGTGTTGCCTGTCTGAGCTCTGAAACACTGTGTCCCAGCCATGACCAACTTTAGTGGACCCAAATCCCAACCTGAAACCCTCTCACCTCCATTCCTCGGTCAATGGCTACTTTGCCCAGCCGCACAGCGATGGGGGCCTGGAGAACAGCAAAGTCTTGGTTGAGGAGGGTATCAAGGCTGATAGTTGCAGCTCTTAGGTGCGCAGCTTTGTTTTGAAGGAGGGAGGCACATGTCTGGGTGTAGTGTGAGGAGGGTATCAAGGCTGATAGTTGCAGTTCTTAGGTGGACAGCTTTGTTTTGAAGGAGGGAGGCACATGTCTGGGTCTAGTGCCAGCCATTCTACTGACACATAGTTTCTTTATTGTTAGTCCTATAACCTGTTAGCTGAGATTATTTCTATCATGAAAGAAGCCAGACTGATCCCTGACCCTCTGGGTTTCTTGTCATTCAGCCCATCCTTCCAACATGGACAACGTAACTAGTTTACAAAGTGCTTTCCTCCCCACAGACTCATCTAATGGTGCTACCTGCACTTGCAGGCTGGTGTCATTACTGATACCCATTTTACAGCTGTTAGATTGCAGTGCAGGGAGGTGAAGCACTTGGCTGTGTCTATCCAATCACTGGTGAGACTCCCAGCCACTGTTGCCCCCTTCCTTGACCTCATCTCAGCAAATGACAGCCTCAGCGGTTAGCAGGTTTTACCCCGGCAGAGTGAAAGTCAGGGTTAGGAACTTGGGTGTTCAAGTCGATAGGGCTGGGTTGAAATCCTGGTTGGTGGGGGAGGGGGGTGCATTTTAATACAGCCGCATAGAAGCAACAGTGCTTTGTCACTGGCCTTGCTTCCACAGCAGCCCTAGCACTCCGGTCTCAGCCCCACTTCCAGGCAAGGAGGAATTACTTTCTGTATCATATTATTTGAAGTATTTATAAAACTTTCTCAGGAAAAGTAAATTTTTAAAGTCTATTAGCATAGAAATAAATGAATCCCACAATAGACTGTCATAAATGCTATATAGGAAAAAAAACTAAGTGAAAAGGCTAGCTACATAAACATGAAGAACTTCCATTGGAAAAAACTGCCGTGAATAAACGACAAAAGTAAAAAACTGGGAAAAACGACTGGGCACAATGACTGATGGCTGTAATCCCAACACTTTGGGAGGCCGAGGTGGGTGGATCACTTGAGGTCAGCCTGGCCAACATGGCGAAACCTCATCTCTACTAAAAATACAGAAATTAGCCAGTGTTGTAGTGGGCCCCTGTAACCCCAGCTACGTGGGAGGCTGAGGCAGGACGCTTGAACTAAAGAGGCAGTGGTTGCAGTGAGCCAAGATCAGGCTACTGCACTTCAGCCTGGGCGACAGAGCGAGACTTCCTCTCAAAAAAAAAAAACCACTGGGAAAAAGAATTGCAATGCTTAGGACAGATGAACTTCCTTGACTTACAAAAATGTTGGTATAAAGTAACTTTTAAACCATTTACAGAGAGTATGTAAAGGTTGTTCACCAGAAAAGAATTATGAACGTGAAAGATGTCCAGCAGGTTCACTTTTGAAAGGCAAATCAACAGTGAGGTACTGTGCTCTTTCACCTCAGACCAGCAAATACTAAAGTATCAATATGCCCACTATTGCCAAGACTGGGGAAACCAGTATTAACATGCATTACTGATAGGAAAGTAAATGAGTATGCCTCGGGAGAGCGATTTGGCAAAAACTGGTAACGTGCTGGTGTGCATGCTCTCAGAGCTGCGGCCTGTAGGGATTTGTATGCAGTTATTCACTCCAGCTGTCTGGTGGTTGCAAAAAGACAACAGAAAGGTTTATTGTTAGGGCAGTGGTTGAATGACAGCACATCCAGACCACAAATAAGAGTGTACAGTTGTTGAAAAGAATGAAGTTGGCCAGGCGCAATGGCTCACGATGTAATCCCAGCACTTCAGGAGGCCTAACGTGGTGAAACCCTGTTTCTACCAAACATATGAAAAAATTAGGTGGGTCTGGTGGCGCGTGTCTGTAGCACCTGTAGTCCCAGCTACTTGGGAGGTTTGAGGCAGGAGAATTGCTTGAACCCGGGAAGTGGAGGTTGCAGTGAGCCAAGTAGCATCATTGCATTCCAGCTTGGGCAACAAAAGCAAAATGCCATCTCAAAAAAAAGTCAGTTACATACTGAAATGGAAAAATCTCCAAAAGATACTAAATTTTAAAAATAGGCCATGTGTAGTGGCTCATGCCTATAATCCCAGCACTTTGGGAGGCTGAGGTGGGTGAAACACTTGAGATCAGGGCTTTGAGACCAGCATGGCCAACATGGCAAAACTTAGTCTATACTAAAAATACAAAAATTAGCCAGGTGCAGTGGCAGTCACCTGTAAACCCAACTACTTGGGAGGCTGGGGCAGGAGAACTGCTTGAACCCAGGAGGCAGAGATTGTAGTGAGCCCAGATTGCACCACCGCACTCCAGCCTGGGCAACAGAACGAAACTGTCTCAATTAAAAAAGAAAAAAAAGCAAGGTGCACCCTAGTATGTATACTATGATTCTATTTGCATAAAATATTGGTACAACATACCTTTAGGGAAAAATACAGGATTCAAACATGGAGGAATATAAAACCTTCCTTTTGTATAACAAAACATAAACCTTCACTTATAAAACAAAGGTTTGGTTTTACATTCTTCCATGTTTGAATTTTTTACTATGCATATTTAAAATTACCAGATTAGGCTTGAAAGATGTTTCTTGTCCTCTAAGCCTTTAAAAGGAATTTATTTAAATATGTAAGCATATATGCATAATACACATCCTCCATATGCAATGGAAATTTCTGGAAGAGTATGGAAACTTAAAGGGCTGTTTGGGTTTGCTTGTGACTGAAGGGTTACTAGGATGTGAGACTCACTTTTAAAACTGGGATAGCCACAAGTATTTTGCTTTTGACTTTTACTTTATGCTCTTCTTACTCCTTTGTTCATTTAGATTTGCTTGCCCTGAGTATGTATTATTAATTAGGTAATTACCTAATAAAGTAATCTTGGCTACATACAGTGGCCCAGGCCTGTAATCACAGGGCTTTGAGAGGCTGAGGCAGGAGAATTGCTTGAGCCCAGAGTTTGAGACCAGCCTGGGCATCACAGTGAGATCCCATCTCTACAAAACACAAAAAATTAGCTGGGCGTGGTGACTTGCACCTGTAGTCTCAGCTACTCAGGAGGCTTAGGTGGGAGGATCACTTGAACCTGGAAGGTCAATGCTCCAGTCAGCTGTGATCATGCCACTGCACTCCAGTCTGGGCAAAAGAGCCAGACCCTATGTGAAAAAAAAAAGAATCTTTTATTAAATAAATTTAAAAATGGTATGTACGTATGTTTGTGAGTGAAAACAACCAAATTCTAGCCAAGTCAGTAGCTTGCACCTGTACTCCCAGCTATTCAGAGGCCAAGGTGGAAGGATTGCTCGAGCCCAGGGCTTCAAGGCTGCAGTAAGCTATAATTGTGCCACTGCACTCCAGCCGGGGCAACAGAGCAAGATCCTGTCTCTAATAAGAAAAGAAAAAAAACACTGTTGAATCCATTATTCAAAGTGTAATGTGTATTTACTATTTAAGAAGGAAATCTGAGTGTTAGCAAACTGTGGATATTGACAGTTTTTTCTGAGCTAAGTAAACTCTGGAACCATTTGCAACCCTATCAGAGTGGTTTGTCCACCAGATGGTGGTCATCTACACCATCCCTGGCCCTCACCTCTCCAGAAACCTTTATTCTGAGCACCCAGTAACACAGGTGAAAGTTGAAGGTTTGTTTTTCAAGTTGACCCAGAAGGTCTCAACTCTGGGATTATTCACTCAATTACTTGTTTTTGGTAACTGGTGTTTTGGTGTGCAAAGCTACTTTTAAGTACTGAAAATATCAGTAATTATTTAGTATCATTATTTCAGTATATTTGGAAACCTGAATTATTTTGTGATTGTTATTTAGTTAATGCAAAAAAGACAAACCCTACAGTCTATAGGTCTAGGTGTGAAAGCTGAAATCAGCCACTCCCTTGAGTGGCCCAGAGTTCTGTATTAGTTCAGGGACTTTCTAACCAAGTGTGATAGAAACTTGACAGCATTAATATTGTCTAGGCAACAGTATCAGACTCTTCATTTCTGTATGATGAAACAAAAAAAAGAAGACAAAACAAATTTTTTTTTGAGACAGTTTTCCTCTGTCACCTGGGCTGGAGTGCAATGCTGCGATGTTGGCTCACAGAAACCTCTGCCTCCTGGGTTCAAGCAATTCTCCTGCCTCAGCCTCCCAAGTAGTGGGATTACAGGCACCCGCCACCATGGCTGGCTAATTTTGTATTTTTAGTGGAGATGGGGTTTCTCCGTGTTGGTCAGGCTGGTCTCAAACTCCCGACCTCAGGTGATCCGCCTGCCACCGCCTCCCAAAGTGCTGGGATTACAGGGATGGGCCACCACGCCCAGCCAACAAATGCTTTCAAAAAGCTATAGTCCCTAACCCCAACTTGAAGATCTGTTTTAAGAAGAATTAGGGTTAAGAGACAGGAAAGAAAGGATTTTTGTTCAAAATTATACTTTTCTTCTTTTTATTTCGAGATGGAGTCTCACTCTGTTGCCCAGGCTGGAGTGCAATGGCATGATCTTGGTTCACTGCCACCTCTGCCTCCCAGGTTCAAGCCATTCTTCTGCCTCAGCCTCCTGAGTAGCTGGGATTACAGGTGGCTGCCACCTCACCCAGCTAATTTTTGTATTTTTAGTAGAGACAGGTTCTACCACGTTGGCCAGGCTGGTTTGGAACTCCTGACCTCAGGTGATCCGCTCACCTTGGCATCTCAAACTGCTGTGATTACAGGCATGAGCCACCGCACCTAGCCTCAACATTATACTTTTTTCTTTTGAGACGGAGTTTTGCTCTTGTTACCCAGGCTGGAGTGCAATGGCACGATCTTGGCTCACTGCAACATCCGCCTCCTGGGTTCAGGCAATTCTCCTGCCTCAGCATCCTGAGTAGCTAGGATTACAGGCACGTGCCAGACCATGCGTAGCTAATTTTTTGTATTTTTAGTAGAGACGGGGTTTCACCATGTTGACCAGGATGGTCTCGATCTCTTGACCTCGTGATCCACCTGCCTTGGCCTCCCAAAGTGCTGGGATTACAGGCTTGAGCCACCGTGCCTGGCCCATTATACTTTTGTCTTCTTCTTTTAACAGAATCTTGCTGTTACTCAGACCATAGTGGCACAATCTCAGCTCACTGCAACTTCCGCCTCCCAGACTCAAGCGATTCTTGTGCCTCAGCCTTCTGAGTAGCTGTAATTACAGGCATGAGCCACCATGCCTGGCTAATTTTGTAATTTTAGTAAAGATGTAGTTTTGCCATATTGGCCAGGCTGGTCTCGAACTACTGGCCTCAAGCAATCCGCCCTTCTTGACCTCCCAAAGTGCTGGAATTATAGGAATGAGCCACTGCATCTGACTTATTTTCTTTTTTTAATACAAAAGAGGTCTCACTATGTTGTGCAGGCTGGTCTTGAACCCCTGGTCTCAAACAATCCTCTCACCTCAGCCTCCCAAAGTGCTGGGATTACAGGCGTGAACCACTATGCCCAGCCAAAATGGTTACTTTTATATGATTAATATCTGTCAATATTAAAATGATGTATCGTTAATTTTGTTTTGCAACATTTATAAATTTTTATATATGAAATGCGTTAGTTTTTAAAATGTATGTATTTTTCTCTCTTAAAAATAAAATACCATTTTTATATTGCTTTCTGTATTGTGCAAAATAAATGCCAAAATGCCAGTGTTGTACTTTTTCTTCTTAATTTTTATTTTGTTATATGAAACGCTTCAGGAATATGTGTGTCATCCTTGCGCAGGGGCCATGCTAATCGTCTCTGTATTGTTCCAATTGTTTAGTATATGTGCTGCCGAAGCGAGCACTGTATTTTTTTAATACTGCAATCATTTTTTGTGACCTTGTCATCAAGGCAAGTCATTGAACTTTTATAGGTTTTCTCACAAATAAAATGGGGATACTCAGCTCAACTACATTATTCTAAGAGTTGAGACACTGTATTAAGGTACCTAGCATTATAGGCTAGGACAAATTTATTTATTTATTTATTTTTTGAGACGGAGTTTCACTCTTGTTACCCAGGCTGGAGTGCAATGGTGCCATCTCGGCTCACTGCAACCTCCGCCTCCTGGGTTCAGGCAATTCTCCTGCCTCAGCCTCCTGAGTAGCTGGAATTACAGACATGCACCACCATGCCCAGCTAATTTTTTGTATTTTTAGTAGAGATGAGGTTTCACTATGTTGACCAGGATGGTCTTGATCTCTTGATCTCATGATCCACCCACCTCGGCCTCCCAAAGTGCTGGGATTACAGGCGTAAGCCACTGTGCCCGGCCTGACAACTTTATTATAAATTAGTCTAACCTAGCTCCATTTTAGCCACTTTTGATCTTTATGGAAACCCGGGATCTCCTTTACTCAACCCCTTCTACCCTGGGCCCCCTTGGAGTTGTGAGAAGCCAGCAGACCCTTGAAGGGTCTTGGGAGACCCCAGACAGCTTTGGGCCCTGCAGCTAATAACCTTGAGTAAGTACCATGCTGAGAGGTAATTATTTGAGGATTTAAAATTTTTTTCTTTTATTTCAATAGATTTTAGGGAACAGGTGGCTTTTGGTTACATGGATAAGTTATTTAATAGTGGTCTCTAAGATTTTGGTGCATTGTACCCAATGTGTAGTCTTTTATGCCTCAACCCCTCCCATGCTATTTATTTGAGCATTTTTTTTTTCTTTGAGGTGGAGTTTCGCTCTTGTTGCGCAGGCTGGAGTGCAATGGCATGATCTCAGCTCATTGCAACCTCCGCCTCCTGGGTTCATAAAATTCTCCTACTTCAGCCTCCCGAGTAGCTGGGATTACAGGCATGCGCCTGATTTTGTATTTTTAGTAGAGATGGGGTTTCTCCATGTTGGTCAGGCTGATCTCAAACTCCTGACCTCAGGTGATCTACCCTCCTCAGCCTCCCAAAGTGCTGGGATTACAGGTGTGAGCCATCATGCTTGGCTTATTTGAGGAATTTTTAAAATAAGGGGTGTTTTTTTTTTATTGGTTTTTAGTGTTATTTTTTGTTTGTTTTGTTTTCATTTGTTTTTTTGAGCAATGGGCTTTTGCCTTGTTGCCCAGACTGGAAGTGCATCAGCAGGATCAGCTACTGCAGCTTTGAATTCATGGGTTTGAGCAATTCTTTTTCCCAAACATCTGGGATTACAGGCTTGAACTACCACATCTGGCTAAAAAATGAGCCCTGGCCAGGCACAGTGGCTCACACTTGTAATTCTAACACTTTGGGAGGCTCAGGCGAGAGGAACACTTGAGCCCAGGAGTTCAAAACTGCAGTGAGCTATGCTTGCACCACTGCACTTCAGCCTGGATGAGAGTGAGACCTTGTCTCTTAAAAAAAAAAAAAAAAAGTCTTAATACATGTCCTGCACTTATCTCCACCAGGTAGTATGGTAGGAAATATGGGTTGGAAGTTCTGTATTCATTTTAGAATCTTGCTTTTTTAGTCTTCAGGGCATTTTAAGGCTCTGCTATACAGTACAGTAGCCACAAGCCACATGTGGCTATTAGCATTTGTAATGTGGCTAGTGTGAATGAGGAACTACGTTCATTTTATCCAATTTAAATCATTTGGCTAGTGGCTCCCATACTGGATAAGCACAAGTATAGAACATTTATCTCATCTCAGAACAGTCTACTGGACAGAGTTAAGTTCTGAGGGCTTTCAACCCCATTTGATTCCAGCCCTTTGGAATTCAATTTACATTTGAATTTGAAATTTAAATTTGACTTGTATTACTAGATGGTTAAATAAACTCCAAAGAGGGTTAATCATGTCTCTGGGTGAATGGATGTGCAGCCCAAGGAGACACCCTGCCCGACACATGTCTCCCCCACAACCCCGGCCCTCCTTGTGCCTAGCTGTCACCACACCTGTGGCAGGATCTCCTGGGCCAGTGCTCGTGCCCGGTGGTAGGCAGCGTCACCCTCCTCGTTCTGGGCCACAGAGTGATTCACCAGCCCCAGTGCGTGGGCCTGTGTTCCACTGAGTCGTCGACCAGTGAAGATGAGCTCCTTCGCCAGGGCCACACCCAGGCAGCGTGGCAGCCTCTGAGTTCCTCCTGCCAGGATGGAGGGGGCAGGGTGGGAATCAGCATGGGAAGTGGGAACTCAGAGAAGACCCAGCCTGGGACTCAGCCAAGACTTCTCAGAGGAGCAGAGTTCAGATGAGAGGGCAGAGCTCAGAACAGAGGGCAAAAAAGGAAGGCAGTAAAGGACCCTGGGTGGGGTGAAATTGGGCAGGTGCTGCAGTTGCAATTACCTGCCCCCGGGAGGAGCCCTCGAGTAGTCTCAATCAGTCCCAAGATGGCCGAGGAAGCTGCTCAGACAGAACAGAGTGAGGCCTCCCTCCCCAATCCAGTCCCCCAGTGCTAATCCCTGGGGCCACATCTGCCTGTGCTCTCTACTCGCCCCTCTAGCCACTTCCCCCATGGTCTAGCCACAGCCAGGCCTCTCCAGACTCTGCCTTTGTAAGAGCCCTAGCCCGGAAGTCAGGAGCCCAGGCCCTTATTTCACAGTGCCCCTTTGGTGGAGTTGTGTGTCACCAGCAAGTCTCACCCTTCCCATGCCTCAAAGGTGGAAGGCAGATGGTTGGCCCTCTTCTGTCTGCCTCAGATTGCCACTAAGGATCACATGAGGCATGACCCTTGGAACAAGGAGAATTCTTAGGAGGTGCCTGATATCTATTAATAGATTCTCCAGCTTAGCCCTGGCCTGGCCTAGAGTGTCAGTGACTCCTGCTCCCACTACAGTTGTCCCTCCCAGATTTGTCACAGCCTAAAATTTCCGTTGCAGTCCATGTCCTCCTGAGTTCTGCTTCCTTCCTTTGAGAAACTTGCCTTGACTGATGCATCCCTCTAGGTCTGTCTCCTGAATTCTCTCAGCATGGGCCACGTAAACGTGAACAGAAGGGAGTAGATTTTACATTCACTCCCTCTTAGTCTTCTGAAACCCTGAGAGTTAGTCGCCTGAACATGGGCATGTGAGAAGCAGAGTTGGGGCTGGACCAGCCTGGCATTTTGGTACCCAGACACCTGGTCAGTTCCTTTTCTTTGACTGCATAGTGTAGATAGCAGCGACTTTCATGCCTGGAGTTACACATTTTTATATGTCACTTTTGGGGTGGCAGGAGAGAGCAGTGAGAGGAGGAGAGAGGACATTCAGACTTTGCCTAACTGCATCCAAGAAGGGTGCTCCTCATCACTGTCAGTCACCTGAAAAAGGGATCAGTTATCTTCTTTGTCCCCTCCCACTCTTCAAACAAAGCTCAATTACTCAGAACAAGTAATGCAAATTTGGCTGGTGCTAGTATTCCTGCTTAGGCACCTTTGTGATTAGTTCAGCCACTGACAAACTATCCCTGGGGTTCACCTTTTTCCAAAACATGGCAGATAAATCTGACGTGGACAGAATTGGAAGATTGGACATCGCTCTTTGACCTTCTTGGATCCTAATAGCAATTGCTCTGAGGTTGGTAAAATATTCCCAAAATGAAGGAAGCAGGTTCTGACAGGTGACGGGTATCATCACAGCTAGCGGCTGCACCAGGAGGGGAAGCGGCTTCTGCCTGAGCACCCTGTGTGCCCTGCCTTGCCTTAGTTTTGCTTTGGTTGGAAGCCAAGAACAGCAGCTGGCTGCAGAATGCCCATACTTACCCTGTTTACTCACCCCCGATTCGCTAGCACCACCCCTCCCCCCAGCCTTGGCCCAGTACCTGCCACTCGGAGGTCACAGGCCAGGGCAAGCTCCAGGCCTCCGCCCAAGGCAAACCCATCCATAGCCGCAATGGTGGGTGCAGGGAAGGCTGCTGTGGAGATGAAGAAGGACTCAACCTGTGAGGCCCTGGTGGAACCAGGACAGAAACTCAAGGCTGGGGAGGGGCAAGTTGGTTGGGACAGAGACCTCAGTGGACCTGACCCAGGTCTCGGGACCTCACATGGACCCTCAGCCAGGCTATCTTAATTCTTTTATTTTGAGACAGAGTCTTGTTCTGTCACCCAGGCTGGAGTACAGTGGCGTGATCTTGGCTCACTACAACCTTGCCTCCTGGGTTTAAGCGATTCTTCTGCCTCAGCCTCCTGAATAGTTGGGATTACAGACACCTGCCACCACACCCAGTTAATTTTTTAAAATTTTTTGTTAGTAGAGACGGGGTTTCACCATGTTGACCAGGCTGGTCTTGAACTCCTGACCTCCCTCGTGATCCTCCTGCCTTGGCCTTCCAAAGTGCTGGGATTACAGGTGTAAGCCACCATGCCCAGTGTTTTTTTTTTTTTTTTCCAGATGGAGGCTCGCTGTTGTCACCCAGGCTGGAATCCAATGGCACAATCTTGGCTCATGGCACCCTCTGCCTCCTGCAGCCAGGGTTATCTTAGAAGCCAATTTTCCCTTTAGGGAAAGTTATGGAGTCAGTCAGGGAACAGGAATGGACTGGATGATCCCTGCTGAGGCCTAATCTGCTGGCCTCCCTGGGACCTGCCTGTCTGTATACCAAGCCCTGTGCTGGGTGCTGGGAACTGGGAACACAGAATATATCAGACCTAGACCTTGTTCCTGTGGGGCTCAGTCTTATGGGGAAGAGAAGTGTGTATCAGGCATGAGTGACCCAGGATCATCAGTGCACCAACAAAAGGAAGACGGGAGGATGGACTGGGAAGGCTTCCTGGAGGAGGAGGTACTGGAGGCCTTGAAGGATGAGTAAAAGTTTAAGTAACCAAGAAGGGGTAACCCAGGCAAAGGGAACAGCAATTGTCAAAGCCTGAAAGCATGCTTGGCGAAACCTGACTGCTTTGGAATGGCCAGGCTTGAACCCTGAGGGTAGAGAGGGGCACAAAAGCTGAAGAGCCAGAGCTCCCTCTGTGGGAGAATTGCCCTCTGTCATCCTCCCCCAGTGAATTCCTTGTGCCCATCCTCTGTCTTCTGACACAACTCCAAACAGAAAGAAGACTCTCCTTAGAGGCTGGTGGGGGTGGCGGGGTTGTCATCAGCAGGGGCCCCCCCAAACCCCTCCTCCACTCCATACCCAGATCCTCACCAATGTCATTCATCAGGCCCCGAAGTCGCTGGACAAACACCCCTACCTCTGCTTCACTCATCTGTTCCCGCTCCTTCAGGTCTGCACCTGCAGATGGCAAGGGGTTGGTACCAGCCCTCAGGAAAATGGCCCTTTATGGAATCCCAGACAGTTAAAGGATCCATCAAAGAAGACCTGAGGACAGGCAGCCAGAGAAGGAGAAACACCAGGAACCCGGGCAAGGAAGCCACGGGAAAAGAGGACCATCAAACAAGGGGGGTGCAACATAGCAGAAAGCTGAACTGGACTCCATCAAAATGGAAACCTTCTGTGCATCAGAGGACACTATCATGAGAATACAAAGACAACCCACAGAAATGGCTAGGCATGGTGGTTCACGCCTGTAATCCCAGCACTTTGGGAGGCTAAGGCAGGTGGATCACCTGAGGTCAGGCGTTCAAGACCAACACGGTGGCAGACACCTATTGCCCCAGCTACTCAAGTGGCAGAAGCAGGAGAATCACTTGAACCCTAGAGGTGGAGGCTGCTATGAGCTGAGCTCGCACCACCGCACTCCAGCCTGGGTAATGAGAGAGACTCTGTCTCAAAAAAAAAAAAAAGAAAGAAAAGACAACACACAGAATGGAAGAAAATATGCTCAAATCATACAGCTGATAAAGGATTAATATCTAGAATATATAAAGAACTCCTCCAACTCAACAATAACCTGATTCAGAAATGGGCAAAGGGCCAGGTGCAGTGGCTTACACCTGTAATCCCAGCACTTTGGGAAACTAAGGTGGGCACATCACCTGAGGTCATGAGTTTGAGACCAGACTGGACAACATGGTGAAACCATGTCTCTACTAAAAATACAAAAATTAGCCAGGTGTGGTGGCAGGCACCTGTAATCCCAGCTACTAGGGAGGCTGAGGCCAAGGCAGGAGAATCGCATGAGTCTGGAAGCAGAGGTTGTAGTGAGCCAAGATCATGCCACTGCACTCCAGCCTGGGCAACAGAGTAAAACTCCATCAAAAAAAAAAAAAAAAAAAAAAATATATATATATATATATATAGAGAGAGAGAGAGAGAGATGGCCAATAAGCACTCAAAAAGCTGCTCAATATCATCATCATTAGAAAAATCCAAATCAAAACCACAATGAGATACTACCTCACATCTATTAGAATGGGTTTTAAAACAAAACAAAAAGTGTTGGCCACACTCTGGTGCACTGCTGGTGGGAGTGTAAACCCATGCAGCTGCTATGGAAACAGTTCCAAAAAGTCAAACAGAATTGCCATTCGATTCTAGTCCTAAGTACACACCCAAGAGAGCTGGAAGCAAGGACTCAAACAAATACAGTTCCTCCTTATCTGTAGGGAACTGGCTCTAGGACCCCCTTAGATACCAAAATCCATGGATGCTCAAGCCCCTTGAATAAATACTGTAGTGTTTGCAATATGACCTATGCACATACATCCTCCTACATACTCCAAGCCAGGGTGTCCAATCCTTTGGCTTTCCTGGGCCACATTGAAAGAATCGTTTTGGGCCACACATAAAATACACTAACAATAACTGATGATGAGCTTAAAAAAAAAAAATCACAAAAAAATCTCATAATGTCTTAAGAAAGTTTACAAATTTGTGTTGGGCCACAATTCAAAGCTATCCTGGGCCACATGTGGCCCAGAGGCTAAGGGTTGGACAAGCTTGCTGTAAATCATCTCCAGATTACTTATAATACCGAATACAATGTAAATGCTATGTAAACGGTGGTACTGTGTTGTTTTTTATCTATATTATTTTTTATTGTTGCATTATTATTATTATCTTTTGAGATGGAGTCTTGCACTGTCACCCAGGCTGGAGTGCAGTGGCATAATCCCAGCTCGCTGCAACCTCTGCGTTCTGGATTCGAGCAATTCTTCTGCCTCAGCCTCCTGAGTAGCTGAGATTACAGGTGCCTGCCACCAAGTTCAGCTAATTTTTGTATTTTTAGTAGAGATGGGGTTTCACCATATTGGTCAGGGTGGTCTCGAATTCCTCACCTCAGGTGATCCGCCTGCTTCGGGCTCCCAAAGTGCTGGGATTACAGGCATGAGCCACCGCACCTGGCCCACAATTTCTAAAATGTGTAAGTAATAAGAAAATTAAAAATTAATTAATTGACTAATTTTTACAGGCAGGGTCAGCAAGGTCCACGGAGGCTGAGAGGTCAAAGGTCAAGTAAAAGAGAACGGAAGTGAGCACAGGATACAGTGGCATACAGGTGGGCAAGCACCTTAGCAGGAAGAGTGACTGTAGTGGGGTCTTCAGAGGCCAGATGCAGGGGTGAGCAGGAGTAGGGGGTAAATAGACTCTTTTACAGTCCTAGACTACAGGAAGTCAGAGCTGAGAGAGCCTTTGGAAGTCTTTGGTCAGTTCCAGCCCTTTTGTGACATATGGGGAAACTGAGGCCCAGAGAGGGGCAGGAACTAACCCAGGATTCTAAAGTTAGGTGAGGCAGAAGTGAGCCTCATGCAGCCCCTTCCTTCTCTGTGCTAAGCTGGGAGGGTGATAAGCAAAGCTAATGCTGGGAGGAAGAACAGGTATGACATGACCTTGACAGAGGTCAGAGATGGAGCCAAAGGAAGAGGCTAGGGGAGGGTAAAGACCTCAACCAGGGAAGCTGGGTCAGGCTGACTGGTCGGCACACTTGTCAGCACAGACCCTAGGCTGGGCACCCTGACTCTGACAGCTCAGACCTAAGGGCTGAGCCATCTCCCCTTGAAATCTCCTGAGCATCATGCCCCCCATTTCCTATCCCTCCACAGCCTCCTCCTGCATCACAGTAGCCCCTGTGGGCCCCTCTCCAACCACCCTCTCAGAGTCTGTTCTCAGCTCAGCTCTACTGGCAGCTAACTTGCCTCTTGTGGGCCTGGTGTGTGTTTTTCCTCCAATCTCTAAAATGGAAGTTCATGGTGCTTGCCCAATTGTGAGGACCAAATGACATGGGGATAGTGGAGGGCTTTGGTGACAGGGAATGAGATCCTATTGATAGGCAAAGGGGTATAGAGCTCCATCTTGACTACTGACCTTACAAGCATCTCTGGACTCCATTTTCTTTTCTTTTTCTTCCCCTCAGGCCGGAGTGCAATGATGCGATCTCAGCTCATTGCAACCTCTGCCTCCCAGATTCAAGCAATTCTCCTGCTTCATTCTCCTCAGTAGCTAGGATTAGAGGTGCCTGCCACCATGCCCAGCTAATTTTTTTTTTTTTGACATGGAGTCTCACTCCGTGACACAGGCTGGAGTGCAGTGGCACAATCTCAGCTCACTGCAACTTCTGCCACCTGGGTTCAAGCGATTCTCCTGCCTCAGCCTCCCGAGTAGCTGGGATTACAGGTGCCTGCCACTACGCCTGGCTAATATTTGTATTTTTAGTAGAGATGGGGTTTTACCATCTTGGTCAGGCTGGTCTTGAGCTCCTAACCTCATGATCTACCCGCCTCAGCCTCCCAAAGCACTGGGATTACAGACATGAGTCACTGCACCCATCTTGGACTCCATTTTGTTATATACCCCGTGAACGGTCAGAACAAAGCATGGCATAGCAGTGATAACTAGGATCTAAGGGTTAGAGAGGCCAAGTTCAAACTGAAGTCTATCCTCCCTCTTTACTGGCTGTGTGATCTTAGGTAAGGGAATTTTCCTCCCTGAGTCTCTGCATTCACATCTGTAAAATGGGAATAAAGAGTCCCATGCTGGAGCTGATCTAAGGTTTCCCCCAACACCTGGAGGCTGGTGGGCACCCTGCAGAGCCCCAGGATGGGGGCAGGGGTGAGAACCTACCTGCGCAGAATACACCCTTCACTGCACTTCTGAAGAGCAGGACACGCACTTGCCGGTCCTCCCGCAGCTGGGCCAGAGCTTCCAGCAGCTACAGAGGACACCCTGTTAGATACCTCCCAGCCCATCCCAGCCCATCCTAGAGGCCACCCTTTCTCACCTCACTGACGAAGACGTTTCCCAAGGCATTGCGGGCACGAGGTCTGTTCATTAGAATCTCAGTGATTCCTGCAAGGAGACAGGGCAGCCATGGGCCAGAAGCTGGTTCTGCCTAATCCTGGGCTGGGGACTGGAGGCAGGAGGCAGGAGGCATGGGCTTTCGGCAGCCTCTGCCCTAGATGACCAGAGTAACTTGGTGCAAGTCACCACTCAGGCAGGCCTCAGTTTTCCCAACCATAAAATGGAGAGAATAACCCTTGCTGCTTCTGCCTCAGAGATAAAGTGGAAGGGCGTGTAAACTGTGGAACAAAATGGCGAGCAGAACAAGAATGATCACCATGGTAGCACTTGCCTGCTTCTGCCATTGTTAGACAGACAGACAGACACACACCCCCCCACACCCATGCACCTTCTTTAATTTCACAACTCCCTCCATATTAATCTTTTCTTTTTTTCTCTTTGTTTAGGGGAGTGGTTTTTTTGGGGGGGACAGGGTCTGACTCTGTCACCCAGGCTGTAATACAGTGGTGTGAACATGGCTCACTGCAGCCTTAACCCCCTGGGCTCAAGCGATTCTCCTGTCTCAGCTCTGGAAACAGCTGGGACTACAGGCAAGCCCCACTACACCTGGCTAATTTTTGTGTTTCCTGTATTTTTAGTAGAGACAGCTTTCACCATCTTGCCCAGCCTGGTCTCAAACTCCTGAGCTCAAGCGATGGGCCCACCTTGGCCTCCCAAAGTGCTGGGATTACAGGTGTGAGCCACTGCATGGCTTTAATCACTTCTTCACAGTCAGACTTCTTCCTCTAGAGTTTGAGGAGTCATGATAAGGCAAATACCCTTGTAACTACCACCCAAATCAAGAAATAGAACTGTGCCAGTCACCTCAGAAACCCCGCCATGTGCCCTGACTCAATCTAGCTCCTTCCTTCCCCCTGAACAAGCAACTCTTTTGACTTACAGTAATCACCTCCGTGTATTTCTTTATAATTTTTTTTTGAGACTGTTGCCCAGGCTGGAATGCAATGACACAATCTTGACTTGGCATGATTTTGACTCACCTCGATCTCAACTCACCGAAACCTCTGCTTCCCGGGTTCAAGCGATTCTCTTGCTTCAGCCTCCGGAGTAGCTGGGATTACAGGCATGTGCCACCACACCCAGCTAATTTTGTATTTTTAGTAGAGACCGAGTTTCACCATGTTGGTCAGGCTGGTCTCAAACTCCTGACCTCACTCAGGTGATTCACCCACCTCAGCCTCCCAAAGTGCTGGGATTACAGGTATGAGCCACCATGCCCGCCATTTCTTTATAATGTTATCATCCAGGTGTGGATCCCCAGGTATCATAGGTTAGACCTGTTCATTTCTAAAATTACCATGTATCTTTTAAAGCCTGTTACAATCCCCACATGATCCCCGCAACCCTGTCTTTCCCTCAAAGGTTATCTGTGTAGGAGCCTAGGGCATTTGTCCTGTAGGGTTTCTCAAAGCCTGAGTTTTGCTAATTGTACAATCACAAGGGGAAATCAATAAGATCCTTTGTCACAAGAAGTTAGCATCTCACACAGAGGCTTGGGGTTCTGTCCTGTTTGGCAAGACAGTAATCCTTGCCCTACCTGTGTAATGTTCTTCCACCAGCAACTGCCAAGCTTCTTAGCAGTTTTCTATACTCATTTAGTCACTTTCTTACCTTCTATTCATTCCAACCTTCTCCAATCTAGGTTCCAGCCCCATCGCTCAGCAGATAGTATTCTCATTAAAATGACCTATAGCTGCATCACTAACCAAGGGACATGTTTCTCTTAATTCAACCTGGCAGTAGCAGAAACCTCTGCTGACATTAACATACTCCTTCTTGATCATTTTCTGCTTTGGTTTCTTAAAAGAATATTTATTTAAGCTGGGCATGGCTCATGCCTGTAGTCCCAGCACTCTGGGAGGGCGAGATGGGTGGATCACGAGATCAGGAGTTTGAGACCAGCCTGGCCAACATGATAAAACCTTGTCTCTACTAAAAATACAAAAATTAGCCGGGCATGTGGTGGTGTGTGCCTGTAATCTCAGATACTGGAGAGTCTGAGGCAGGAGAATGACTTGAACCCAGGAGGTGGAGGTTGCAGTGAGCCAAGATCGTGCCACTGCACTCCAGCCTGGACGACAGAGCGAGACTCCATCTTAAAAAAAAAAAAAAAAAAAAAAGCCAAAGCCCAGTGGCTCATGCCTGTAATCCCAGCACTTGGGGAGGTGAAGGTGGGCAGATCACCTGAGGTCAGGAGTTAGAGACCAGCCTGACCAACACAGAGAAACCTCATTTCTACTAAAAATGCAAAATTAGCAGGGCTTGGTGGTGCATGCCTATAATCTCAGCTACTCAGGAGGCTGAGGCACAAGAATTGCTTGAACCTGGGAAGCAGAGGTTGTGGTGAGCGAAGATCGTGTCACTATACTCTAACATGGGCAACAAGAGCAAAACTCTTGTCTCAAAAACAAATTATTTATTTATAAATAAATGATTTTCTTAGAGCAGTTTTAGGGTCACAGAAAAATGGAGTGGAAAATACAGTTCAACGCAGTTCACAGATACTCCCTGCCCCTATACAGGCACAGCCCCTTCCGCAATCCCCATCCCCCTACAGAGGCACAGCCCCTTCAGCAATCCGCACACCCCAACAGAGGCACATTTGTTGTGATTGATGAACCTACACTGACGCATTTTCACCACCTGGGGGCCCTAGTGTGCACTGGGGTTCACCCTTGGTAGTGTACACTCTGTGGGTTTGGACAGCTGCATAATGACACGTATCCGCCTTGACTTTGGCAGGCCCCCATTTTCCTTTCAGGTGATGCCTCTCCACTCCTTCAATAGGTTCTCTTCTGACCAATTACTTTAATTGTCTAAGTTCCTTAAGGCCAATGGGATTCTCTTCATTCACTCCTTTGTATATTTATGTTTTGCTGTGTGCTGGCCTCTGCTAGATACCATGATTCCAGAGACCAGCACAGACTCAGGGCCTGTCCTCATGGAACCTACAGCCTAGCAGGGAAGACAGACATTAAATAATTCCTACTTGTGATGAGAGCTTGGAGAAAAAGGACAAGCAAGTAAGGGGTATCCAGTGGGCAGAGGGGAGCCCTAGTATAGAAGGTCAGCAATGAGTTCCCAGGGGAGGAAGTGGCCTGTAAGCTGAGAGATGACAGAAGAGTAGGAATTGGCCAGGCCAAAAATGTAAGTGTGTGTGCATGTAAGTGTGCACGCATGGGTGCCTACATAAGTGTGTGCATGACTACATGTGCCTGTGTGTGCATGCATATTGGCAAGGTGCAGGGAAGAGGGCAGTCCAGGAGAGAAGCTGGTTGCAGGCAGAGGGAGCGGCAAAGAGGGCCCAGGTGTAGGACTGCAAGGTGCCTTCCAAAACTGGAGGAGTTCAGGTGGAGGGAGAGCAGGATAAGCTGAGGCAAGAGAAGCAGGAGGGACCTCCCTTCCACACCTCCGTGCATGTACCTCCTGTACACCCAGGGCTCCCATGTGTGCCCAGTAGCCCAGAGCTCTCCTCTGCACTGCAGGCCTGAATAGCCAAATGCCTACTTGATATCTCAACGGATATGTCCTGCTCCCTTGGTGAGCCAATGACCTTGCTATCAACCCAGAAGTTGATCCTGTCACCTCACTCTTCCCTCACCTACAAAATGCACTCAGCCACTGAGGCCTGCTAATCCAACCTCTTAAAGAGATCTCAGGCCTCTCAGTTCCACTAACCTGGCACGGACCGGGCTCTTTCCTGCATCTCTCGGATCACCCACCTCGAGTCCTCAGTCTTGCTCCCCGCCAGCACACACACATTCATTCCCACACTTGGGTCATAGTCATCTTTCTAACCCCAATCCGACCACGTCCCTCCCCTTCCCACTTCTTTTCCTCAAAATAAAGTTCAACTGCTTAATACCGACCACAAGGTCCCCACAATCTGGCTCTTGCACCCACTCTGGCCTCAGGTCACCCCCACCATCCAGTTGGGCTGTGGGGAAGAGATGGGCTCTGGCAAGGGGCTCAAGCCCCTATCACCCTTCTAGGCTGTTTCTCCTCCTACGAAATATCAGGATGGACATTTCAGGTCTTGCCAGGGCTGCAAAACAGGAGGTGGCCAGAGGAGTGTTTCCCAATCCTTTGGCCTTCAAAGACCCTTTATTATTATCTTCCAGGGTCCTTGGCTTTGTCTGTGAATGAGCAGTGTTTATGAAGTTGGCATTCTTAGTGTAGTCTGATCAGAGACACTGAAGGGCCGATGAAAGTTTCAGGGCTCTCAAGGGACAGGGTTTTCAGCCAGGAATTAGAGAACTATGTCGAGGGGCAGTGAACTGTAACATTCAGGCAAACTGGACTTCCTTAGCCTCCCCAGAAACCTGCAAAGGGCTCCTAGAGCCCAGCAGCTCTGGAGGCTCTGGAGACAGGTGCAGATGGCCATAGAAAATGGGGTATCTCTGGAGAAGGGAGACTTCAGTGGATACAGAGATGCCAGATCAGAGAAGTCAAGGGCCCTGAGCCCCACAAACTTCAGAACTGTCTAGATCCAAGGTCCACAGAGTGACCCTCCCGTTTTTTTTTTTTGTTTTTTTTTTTTGAGACGGAGTTTCACTCTTGTTACCCGGGCTGGAGTGCAATGGTGCGATCTCAGCTCACCACAACTTCCGCCTCCTGGGTTCAGGCAATTCTCCTGCCTCAGCCTCCTGAGTAGCTGGGATTACAGGCACGCGCCACCATGCCCAGCTAATCTTTTGTATTTTTAGTAGAGACAGGGTTTCACCATATTGACCAGAATGGTCTTGATCTCTTGACCTCGTGATCCACCCGCCTCGGCCTCCCAAAGTGCTGGGATTACAGGCTTGAGCCACCGCTCCCGGCTGGCCCTCCTGTTTTGTTTATATCCTGAATAATCCCCTCCCCTTGCATGTAGGTAGGCCCTGTGAATTGCTTCTAAGCAACAGTATAGAGCAAAGGTTATAAAATGTCACTCTCTAGGCCCGGCGCAGTGGCTCACGCCTATAATCCCAGCACTTTGGGAGGCCGAG